TCACACACTAAGCATAGCAATTTTATTAAAAGATTTCTCAATTTTCATTAAATCTTATAGAAAGAGGTAGAATTTCTTCTTTTTTTCAGGGATTTTAGGGAAAATAAGGCTCTTGTCATTTTTTATTCTATTACTGAACAGAATGGGAAGACAGGGTTGGTTATTCTTCGTCTACGAATATCCAAATTTTAACTCCTAATACTCCATAGATAGTTCGAATTGGATAGCAGCAATAATCAATTTTAGCGCGAATTGTTTGGAGGGGAAGTCTACCTTTTTTGATGCATTCGGCACGCGCAATTTCTTTTCCCGCGAGACAGCCTGCAATTTTTACTTTTACTCCCTTTATATCTGTTTTTTTAGTTAATTCAATGGCTTTTTTCATTGCCTTTCGGAATGAAACTCTATTTTTTAATTGGAAAGCTATATATTCTGCAAGAATGTTAGGTTGTCTATAAGGTTCTTTCACTTTTTCGATCCCAATATTAAGTCTCTGGTTTACAGAATTAACTTCTTTTTGTAGATCTTTCTCTAATTCTTCGATTGCTCCTTTTTTCTTTAATAAATTGGGGAATCCAATATGGATTATGACGTGGATTGTATCGATTTCTTTTTGAATTTCTATATGTGTAATTACTTCGGAACTTGAGCCCGAGTCCATTTTTTTATTATGTGTAATTACTTCGAAACTTGAGTCTGCTTCTATTTTTCTATTCGAGCCCTTTTTCCTATTCTTTTGTATATAGTTCTTGATACAATTCCGTATTTTTTTTATCTTCCTGTAGACCTTCAGAATAATTTTTTGGTTGTGCGAACCAAAAGGAATGGTGATTTTGGGTTGTACCAAGTCTGAAACCAAGTGGATTTATTTTTTGTCCCATATTTTTCTATTCTATTTTTTTTACCGGGAATCAAATCTTAGATGGATCTAAAGATTATTTCGATTTCTTTACTATATTTAGTACAATTGTTATATGACACATGGTTTTTTTTATGGGAGAACTACGTCCTCGAGCCCGAGGTCTGAATTTATTCATAATAGTACTCCTACTGACTTCGGCTTTAGTGATGAATAAATTTGCTTTGTCGAAATCCCTATAATGAGTAGCATTTGCTGCTGCCGAATAAACCAACTTTAAGATAGGATAAGATGCTCGATAAGGCATGAGGTTCAATATCATAACAGTTTCTTCGTAGTAACGCCAACGAATCTCATCCAGAACTCTTTGTACTTTGAAAACGGACATGTGGATGCGTTTTTGTGCTTTGAAAACCCGTTCGAACTTAAGTAGACGATCGGTTGGTACTTTTCTTGCGAGTTTCCTTAGCCCACTCTTCTTCTTCTTTATCCTAGGGGTATACTTTACCAGTTTGAAACTTGTCATAAATAAGGTTATTCCCCGCTTACCTATTTCTTTTTTTTTATTTTGAATCTTTCTATTCTGAATTCAGTTAACGACGAGATTTAGTATCCTTTCTTACACTTTCATAACTCGTGAAATGCCGAGTTGGTACGAATTCCCCCAATTTGCGACCTACCATAGGATTTGTTATGTAAATAGGTATATGTTACTTTCCATTATGAATCGCGATTGTATGGCCAACCATTGCGGGTAGAATGCTGAGAAAGTTGGGCTGATCGTAGCCGTGCAATAACGATCGGACGGTGAATCCGAGAGCTCCCACCGCTTCGAGTCCGTACGCCGCCGCCGCGCCGGAGTTCGCCGTGCTCCCGGGCGGAGACAACCATGGCTGCTCCGCCTCGCCTCGCTCCCTCGCCGGCCGTGGCGCGAGCGGGGCAGCAGGGTAGGCGCCGCCGCCATCCACGCCGGAGAGAGAGAGAGAGAGAGAGGGAGGCGGAGAGGAGAGCCCCCGCCTCCCCTACGACGCTCCGCGGCGCGAGAATGCGAGATCGCGGCGGCTCCGCCATCGATCCCTCATCGTCGCTCGCCTGCTGCTGGCCCGCCCTTGCCGGCTAGGTGGCTGGCTGGCTGAATCCACAAGCAGCCATGATCGATCGGGTTGGTGGTGGAGGAATGGAGGATGGTTTTGGGTGCTCTCGGTGTTGGGACAGAGACAGGAGGAAGAAAATGGCTGGTTCACCGGGCCATCTGATCTGACGATTACTGGTATGTGTTCTACTTCCTGACAGAAAAAATGACCAAACATTAGGATCATGAGTTCGTTTTTCTGCTCTCTGGAGTCACTGCAAAGATGAACAATGAAAAAGAAAGCTCATGGATGGTCTATTTAGCTAGATTATGACATACGGAATCAATTCGATGTATGTACAAAATTCAGGTAGTCCTATGAGACCATCTAAACATGTTCTAGATTGTACCACCTCTGTTCCGAAATATAAGCATTTTTTGTTAGGAAGCTGGACAGAGGGACGTCTAGATATGTTGTTAGAAATGTTTATATTTTGGAACATATGGATTAGAATATAGTTTACCAGACATATATTGCTACGCTTATTTGACTGATCAAATAGTTTATCAACAAACTTTTAATACACTACTTAGCTCGGTAAAATGTACCCTTCTGTTTGACGAATAAAGATCTCTCTTTCGTCCTCCAAAAAGGGAGTGTGGAAGAAAAATGGAAAGGCTTAAAAACAAATACTGAAGAAAAGGTATAGAATTATAACATCCATGTGCCAGGTGTAGAATTAGGTTGAAGGGAAAGCCATGGCCCATGAAAAAGATATGCAAATGAAAAGTGAGTAATTAATACCAATGCTTCTTCTTTTCTCCCTTACTCCACAAATATGGGCAAACTTAATGCTGTTTTCTTGTGAGGCTGACACATCAATAAGGCTGCAAACTATTAAAACAAAGATTCATAAAAAAATATCTACTATAACATGACAAGAATCATTCATACACGAGGTCTCGATGAGTTTGCAAATCCAAATCACAATTTACAAAAATTATCCTTTTTCTTTATCCACCAGCTTCTGTTTAAAGTATTGAAATGTCTCCACATCATACCTGTTGTTATCAAGCAAAGGTAAACTCACAAAAGCAACAATCAATATCTGTTTTTTGAAATGCAATGAAGCTGATTATTGCTTGATACCTAAGCTTTGCTTGCTTTCAAATCAGCCGGACATGTTTGGCTGGGTAAAACAATACTTGTTGTAATAACCCATTGTATAAAATGGCATTCAGTACAACTGTCACTGTGGCTAAAATCTTTGAAGTTTGAAGAAGGGTTCTCAGATCACCAGTAAAGGAAAACTCTTGTGGGAAACAATGCTGATGCTTGATTCCATTTGCAGTTAAGATGCAGCAATGCTATTTTGAATGATAATGACGAGAAGTTCATGTTGAAAAAATTGGTTGATTTTCTGTCTACTCCAACTATCGTATTAGTATTCATTCCGAATTCCATTTAGAAATAAAACTTACATGAGTTAATTGAGTGAGAAATTAATTCTTCCCAAGGATCATATTTTTCTGCATTACAAGAAAACAGAAAGGATATAGTTTCTGTTAATTGCTGCAGAATAAAACAGGCATTTTTTTTCATATGCCCTGTTGCTCACTATGTTTGTCAAGTGGCAGTGGCTTCATTTTATATTCCCATTCTTAAAAGCTTAGCTTGATGGATTTGGTAAACCAAGAGGTCCTTCATGTGTCGGGAATGCAGAACCATGCCGCACTACATTTCAGCCCACGAGAAATATGGTATATTCTGGAAAAAAAGAACATAATGCCAACCAATCGATATTTTTATACCACGGGATCCTACCATTGTTCCCATTCCGTAATCGGGTCAAGTGAGAAAACTTCATGATGCATGAAATTGGATGTCTGCCGAAGTGTAGAGGATCTGCGAGGTTCCCTGTCCAACGTTGCCATGGTTCAATTCTTTCAACTTTGGGATGAACTGTTGCTCTTCAACCTCGGCAATGATCCTGACAAAATCAGATGGAAACCAGGTCCTGATGGTGCATTCTCTGTTTCCTCTGCCTATGATATGTTTTTTATGGCGAGGCAAAGCTACCCCTTCGGACAACACATTTGGCAGACCAACGCGCCATCTAGAGTACGATTCTTCTTCTGGCTGGCTGCAAGAGGAAGGTGTCAGACAGCAGATAATCTGGCGAAGAAGGGGTGGCCACATGAAGACAGCTGCGCACTTTGTATGCGCGAACAGGAAGACTGCCATCATCTATTTGTTACCTGCGAATTCTCTGGGAGAGTCTGGGAACTAATGCGTGCTTGGATCAGTGTCGACTTCCCGATCCCAGGTCAGATTGATTGCAGTCTAATCGATTGGTGGTTTGAAGCCAGGCGCTGTTTTCGGACGGGCTATAGGGAAATCTTCGATGCTGTCCTCATGTTAGTATGCTGGTTGATATGGAAGGAGCGCAATGCTCGGATTTTCGAGCAAAGGTTGCGTTCCCCTGAGCAATTGGTGGAAGACATCAAGGAGGAGATCAATGTCTGGAGGTCAGCAGCAGTTTTCAAAGAAGTGCAACACCAATAGCTTGTAATTGCAGTGCCCTTGGGCTTTTATTTTCTCGCTTGCTGGGTTAGTGGCTAGGCCTCTTTCCCTCTCGACAGCGTGCTGTCGTTGTAAGCGTTTTTACGTAACAAATTCCCCCTTTCTTAATGAAATTGGTCGACCGAATCTTTCGGCCGACCCGGCAAAAAAAAAAAAAGTGTTCAGGCAACATGGCGATCACTGCAGTTAGATTACTGTGTTGATGTTTGACTCTCAACTTTTGGTCAATGCTATAAAAATAATTCATTGCTCCTCACCCCCAAAAATCCCTCTTTGCTCTTTAAGTTGATCTTTATGTTAGTATTTGATGTGGTTTCGGATTTATTCTGGGTATGGTGGCTACAGCGACACAGCTACACTTATTTTTCCCTTTTGCAGCATTGGCTCTTTGTTTTGTTCGGATTGTGTTTAATTACATTTGGCTTTAAATTGGAACTGAATTATCTGTTTTCAGGGGGGTTGGAGTCTATAACATATTTGTTCCATAATCGAATGTCGGAACTACCTTATGCTTGACCAAATGCCAGATCCAATTACATGGCTTGTTCATATGCATTAGTTGTGTGTAATGCAACAAGAGAACTGTGCCTAGAAATTCTGGCGATCTTCAAGAGTAACAATGAACAACCTTGTCATAGCTACATCTATGGTTTTCCATATCCAGCTGCACTGCCTTGTTCACTATGCAGGATGGTACTCTCAGCACTACAATGTCCAGACATCATAATTTCACTACATGTCAACTGGGTTGTCAGTTGTCACATCATGTTTCCCTCTTGAGCTGTACCTTGAGCATTTTGCCACCTATCTGTGAGCCATTCATCCTCCTGATAGCAGCCTGAGCTGATGCTGGTGTGTCATAACTAACAAAGCCTGCACAGAAGAAGCACAGAACATGAATACCACACAGACTCTCATTGCAGTGACTATGCAAAATACAGAGTTGCAGTGCGGTTTACCGAAACATTTACTGACACCAGTAGCTCTGTCAATGAAAACCTTGGTACTCAAGATCCTACCAAATTCTTGAAATAGATTTGCCAGATCTTCATCACCGTATTCTTGAGGGATGTCATAGACAAATAAATTAGCCCTAGGAGGTCCTGAGGGTTGGCATAAGTAAAATGACCAATCAGCTAACGAACCATGGAAAATGCATCTTATATGACACAGTAAGCTTAAGTTTTACTAACCTTCAATCTTACTCCCTATCTTTGTGTTTGCTGCAGATGAGGCATGATTGCTATGACTGTTTGGTATGTTTACCTTACCATCAGAGAAATACTGTGGTGTATCTCCCACTAAGGCACCTGCATATGATACTGGGTAATGAAGACCTGACAAATCAGGGTAAGGAGGTTGTATGTATCCAGCAGATTGAATCAGGTTCGAAATTTTAGGATCTGTTCCTGGAAATATATTTGTGTTGAGTCCCTGGAGTAAATTTCCTTGATTGACATGTGGGTACATAGTGCTGTACAATGCCAATGGGTTCTTCGTGTGTCCATAATGCCCTGGTACCTGCAAAAATTTGTGTACAAACCTCAATTCATCTGGACACAATATAATTATACATTAAACAAGTAAAAAGAAGAAGAATGGCCCAGTGTAAAAGATGTGCCAAGGGCTAGGGTGGAAGAAATAGACAGACGTTAAAATGTTTTCCATAGCAATTTACAACATTATTATATGTTTGATCAAAAGAATTTATATTGCAATGAGTAATAAGTAGGATTGGTGCTTATATCCATGCATCAGGATTTGTGATTCTGATAGCAGAATCACAAGTGAAGTAGCATACAACATGAAGAATATCATCGAGTAAATAACTCTTAAAATAGGCTATAACCTATAAGAGCTCATTTAACACTACTATAGTCAAAGTTCTACTAGCAGGAATTTCAAGCAATCCTGTCCTTTGGAAATAAACATTTGAGGCAGTCCTTCACTAAAGAAGGAAAGATCGGGAACAACAGAAAAGATGGGCCAGTGTTCAAGGTGTTACCTCTAACGTTTTGGAATCACACTCATTAGGCTTATATTGCTTCTCGTCATGCTCTACAGGTAAGAGAGAATGCTGAATTGGCTGTATTGGATCATTATATGTAACTCGATTCTCTAATAAGTTCACCACGCTCTTGAGCTCAGTCACTAGCATCTCAAGTTTGTCGTTTGTCATCTTCATTAGATCTTTCAATTCTGGATCCGTTGTTCCTTCAGTCTGATAGTGACCATGTATAATTGATAGTATTAGAAAGAGGATGATTGCTACAGAAATAGCGGGGAGGGGTAAAGCTTGTTTTGTAGAGTACATATTTTTTTTAAAAGGAACATATAGCTCTAGTTTGTTGAATTTCTAGTATTGACTTGAACACTAGATAAATGAAATGTAGCTAGAGATCTTCATATGCATCCAGCTCAATATTAATCTGACGATTTTCTAAAGGCACACTTTTGCACCATGAGGTGAATCTTTTGTCTGCTCATATACTATCATACTCTAATGGGATACTATCCAAGCCCTGGCTTAGTTTATCTATAAAAAAAAAATGTGATTCGATAGCTAGCATAGTTCAGATAATAATAAATGAGAAGTTGAGAACAAAGGAAATATGTTTGAAGCTAGCTCCTCATGTCTTAATTCTATGAGTTATCTATAATGCAGGGATTTCAGTACCAGAAATGTACTCCCTACATTTCAAAATATAGGGTGTATTTTATTTTGTTATATTATAATAGAGTATGTTAGTCAAAGCCTTGTCCTAACGAAAACAAAATACACCCTATATTTTGAAATTGAGGGAGCCCAAGCATTCCTATATCTCCAGTTCCCATCATTTCTATGTCAGAATTTTGGTGGTTCTGTATTCGTTTGAGCAGTTGCAATTGATAAAATAATTCAGATGAAAGATCACCTTGTAATCCAATACATTATATGGAGGAAGAAAGCTCATCTGTGGTGCTCCAGATATTGATAGCAGCTGGGGGAAGAGATAAAATCTTAAGGGCTTAGAAGGTTGAGCCTGAGCTTTCTGTGCCTTTCTAGCTTGCTTTTCCCTTTCAGTGTCAGCCAACTTAACAACCAAAGTCGCACTTGAACCCTAAGTGGATGTCGTGAAGTTGTTAGAAAATTCAGTAAAGTTGCATTCCTTGTTTCTTCAGTAAAGATCAATTTGCTATGTTGTTTGCAGGAACAAAACCAATGTTGCAGGCTGGAGAGCTCTACACAGAAGATTCAGATAGGAGAAGGCTTACATTGAACACAACACGTGTGCCATTCAAAGCTTCAATGGCCGCTCTAGCATGTTCTTTGCTTCCAAATTCCAGGATAGCACAGGCTGCAGCTTTTTTGTTTATAACAAATCAAGGATGTGAGCACTAAAACCATTCATAGTATTTCAGATAACAAAAACGAGACGATCTGTAAGTTCTACTACCTTTTCTTGTTTTCTGTGGACTTCTCAGTACCTTCAGTTGTCTAATATTTCCGTACTGCGAAAACAATGCAGAAACTTCATTCTCCTTCACATCCCTTGGAAGCATGCCAATGAAAAGCTTCTGCTCTGCGGCTGCGAGTCAGGCAGCAACCGTTTCAGAGTACAACATCAGCAGGGTTGCAAGAGTGTCACAAGAAGAACAATGTCCCAAGTTATTTAGGAATTAGGACCAATTCTTCTTTGATTAGGAATCATCAGTACCAAATACATTGTATTGGGAAATTATACCTAATCGTTCCAGCTCGCCGTCCGCGTATTTTACCTGCATTGCCCTGGACGCCTGATTGAGGCGACAGGAACAGAATTTGTGTTATCAGAACTACAGAATTGACAATCATAGAGCACATATCATCTCATCGAATGTAGAAAAGTGTTAGTATATTTAATCCAGTCCTACTTTGCATCGCCATGATATAGAGACCGAGGTATTTATTCCATTATCTAAAAGAATCATAATTTTGGTATCTATTGCATATATGAAACTAGGATCTAGAAGTTATACTACATCAAATCCAATTCAATTAGCCTGCGTAAAATTGCGTAGGGGAGGTTGTCTTATCAGAACTACAGAATTGACAATCATAGAGCCCATATCTTGTCATTGGATTTCCTTTTTGATAAATAATCTCAGTGAAAACGAGCTTTTTCCTGTCTGATTCTACACAAATCACTAGGAACCAAAAAGAACATCCTTTTCCAATCTCCATGAACTGTTCCTGTCTCCATCCCCATCTTCAGAAAAAAAAATCACCAAATCAATCATGGATAGAAAGATACTTGCATTGCCCTGGATGCCTGATTAAGGAGACAGGAACAACATTTCTCTTATGAGAACAATCTCATTGAAATTTGACACATATTATCTCATTGAAATTTCTTTTTGATAAATATAGTCTCAATGAAAATGAACAATCCCTATATCTGATTCCACACCAATCATGCACGAGGCACATCTTTAGTCACAAAAAGGGAAAATAAAAATCCTTTACAATCTCCTTTTCCATCCCCGATTCCAGACAAGAATTCACCAAATCAATCAATCAATCATGAACAGAAATCATGATTTTTGTTGCCCCCACCCCAAATTGTATCCAATCTTGCAGGTGAATGCAAGTGAAGAACTTACTCCTGGGAGGGTGCACTTGTTGTGGTACGCGGCGATGGCCTTGTCTGCCTCCTCCCTCGACGAGCACACCACGAAGCAGCAACCTGCAAGAACCCAAATAAATTCCAAATTTTCATCATCTTCTTCTTCTGCTTCTCACACACGGGCAAGAGCAAATCAATGGCTCACCGCGGGAGGCGCCGGTGGCGCGGTCGCGGATGACGGTGGCGTCGTCGGCGCGTGCGGCGGCGCGGACCACGGCGAGGATGTCCTCCTCCGCCATGCTGCGTGGCACCTGGCCGACGAACAGCCGCACCCTCTCGCCGCCATCCTCCCCATCTCCGGCCATCGCCGCCGCGATCTGTGTCTCTCTCTCTCACGTTTCTTTCCTTTTCTGATGGCGCCTGTCCGTCCTCTCCTCGTTCTTGCCTGCGCCTTTTTGCTATCTCTGACGACGAGCACTAACCACTGACTGATTGTTTGATTGATTGATCAGTATCAGGGTCTCGATGAGTACAAGTTAATTAATCGATGAGTAGTACCACCAAGATCTTGATCTCGAGTAGGAGTAAATGTGATCGAATCATCATCTGATTGAGCGAAAAGCAGCAGCATTGAATGAGCAGTTTGGTCGAGATGGAGTGACGTCGCGAGCGATGGTTTGCTTTGATCTTTCTTTCTGGTCTTGCTCGCCTTTTTTTCTTTCTTTTTCTGCTGCAGCCTTTTGCATTGGCAGTTTCTCTCCTTTCATTTGCTTGAGGAGAAGCACAGAGAAGGAAAGAGTGAGGCGAGGAGGAGGAGGAGATGGTTTTGGACGGAAGCTGCAGTTCGTGCAAGTTTGGCATTAGAGCTCAGAGACTCTCACATGGCGGGACCAAGGCTCGTTTTTTTTTTCTTCACGACAAATTGAGATAATAATGGTTATTAGAATTAAAAGGGATTTTAATTTCGTCGAAGGGCATTTGGTCTAGTGGTATGATTCTCGCTTTGGGTGCGAGAGGTCCCGAGTTCGATTCTCGGAATGCCCCTTAATTTACTTTTTTTTTTTTTGTTTTTCTGAGCATGCATTTCCTGAAGTTTTTTTTATTCCTTTTCTTCCATGCATTCATTCCTTTTCTTTTTTCCTTTGTTCTTTTTGCATGCATTTGTTGAACACTAATCATCATCTTCCTTCTTCCTTTTTTCTGAGCATGCATTTCCTGAAGTTTCTTTTCCTTCTTCCATGCATTCCTTTTCTTTTTTTTCCCTTTTTTTCTTTATGCATATGCATTTGTTGAACATTAATCATCAACTTTCCTTCTGCTGGTTCATCCTTCGGGCAAATTAGCATTTCCTTTCTTTCTTGACACTGTATAATTGATGGCTAGTTCTCTCCCACCATATCCATATGATTTAATATCCTACTTTAATTATACAATAATGGCACCCACAATGGTTATCCATAGGCTCTCTACCAGAGATACATGTCAGCATATTTTCCTACTTGAAAGAGATTAAATGAAGAGAGAGAGCAAAGCTATCTATTAACCTGGAGATAATCTATAGAGAAAAACGAGGCAATGGATTAGAGAGCTATAGATACCCATGTAGACATACCATTGAAGTGGTTTACTATTAATCTAGTCTATTGCTGAGATGTACATGTTTTATAGATAGCACCTTACTTTACCATTGCGGGTGCTCTAGTAGCTCCGCAAATCCCACTTTAATATCCTTCAATGATTTCACCTTTCCTCCTCTTCCCCTATTACATCTTTCACCAGCACCAAACCCTAGCAGACGTTCTCTAGTACTTCCTCCGTTTCACAATGTAAGTCATTCTAGCATTTCCCACGTTCATATTCATTAATATCAATATGAACGTGGGAAATGCTAGAATGATTTATATTGTGAAACGGAGGGGTACTATTTCCTCAAATCTTGTTCCACAGCCCTACCGAGCTAGGTCACATGCAAACATCGTCATGTGCATAATGTCTTCAGTCTTCACATCATCATGGCCTCATGGGGCATTAGGACAGCCTTATTGCCAACATGTCTATTGGCAAGAATGCCACTGAAAATATCAGATTAAGCTTCCATAGTTTGTCCCAAAAATGCTTGTGTCTTTTGCATTTTTTCAAAAGCCGGGTAATATAATGAAAATTGGCAAATATTGCTACTGTGGACGAAGCAGACAGTCTGACCCCTCCCCTTCACGTCGCACCACTCAAATATGAATATCATGCTGCAGTGAGCTGAAGATCACTCTGGATTATTCTCACATGTGGATGCATGTAAAGCATGCAAAACCTTCAGATTTCAGACTAGACAGCGCATCAGATTTCAATCAGAGCATGTGTTTCGCTATGCAACCTGTACGTTCAGAACTTCAGACTCTTGAGTGACAGCATTCAGATTTCATTAGAGGCAGCAAGCGTTTCACTAATCACTATCCGAGTTTTGCGTTCCGTGATGAAGTTAGGCGTAGGTCTCATCAGATTATTTACTACTGAGTTTTTTTTTATTTTTGAAACTTTTTAATTTTTAAATTTAAAAATAAATCTTTTCAAAATTTATTTATAAGATCTAAACTTTTTGTCACTCTAATTGAATTGGCATAGCAAAACAACACTATCACGAGTGTTATTTTACCATGCCGGTATGACTGGCGTGACACCGTTATCTCGCTTTGTTTGGTGTGTTAGTATTGTTTTACCATGTCAAATGGGCTGGCGTGATTTAAATGTTCAGATTCTGAAAATAAGTTTTAGAACGGTATATTTTTTAATTAAAAATTTCAAAAAGAAAAGATCTACTACTGAATTGTTGAAACGTATTATACGCTCCATACTTCAGGAAGTATATAAACTTTTTTAAAATTCAGTAGTATACTTGTATTTATGGCCATACGTATGTGTTTTTCATGTCACAACTTTAATAACTTCTATTTAATAAATTTATATGTTTACGAAGTGACATATCACATATTTATCCATTTAATTAATTAATTTTTAAAAAAGAATTAACAGCTATTTAGATGAACGAGGGTTTAGAATACTTTTCCACGCAGATGGTGATACTATATATATTGAGTTGACTGTTCAATTTAACTCAAAAGCTAACATGATGAGTGAAGAGGAGCAGTTCAATTTATATTCCTAGCACTACTAATGCACACGGCCGCACGTCGGCGCCGGCGACAGATACCATCAAACCACACCGCGTTCCAACGAGGAGAGATCAGACCAGATATATATCTGATATTTATCTGCATGACTAGTATTCTCTCCCTTTTATATTATAAATCATTTGATTTTTTTTAAGTAAAATTTTGTTAAGCTCAATTAAGTTTATATTAAAATTTAGCAACATCAAAAATATTAAATTAGTTTTATCAAACGTAAGATTGAATTTATTTTGATAATATGTTTATTTTTTTACTTAGGAAAAAAAACCAAACAACTTATAATATAAAATGGAGAAGGTAGTATTTAAATACTCCTCCATGATATCACCCCTGGCTACTCATGGGCTATTATACTATTTGCCATGAGAAACGCTTCCAAGAAATTATATTCGAGTGAACTAACCAATCATGTTAACCTGTCATTATTATACTGATAATTTATTCTCAAATCATAGCTGCAAGAACTACGATCTCGCTGGTCGCTGCTATTATCTTTGGATTCGTCGTTTCTGGCATCTGTTACTACGAGTGGAATAAAATAAATACTAGTTTTTGCCAAGATAATCCAACGTCAACGTAACTACTGAGCCACTAGTGTTATAAATAATCAGCTTCGAGAATGGAGATGTAGTTTTTTTTTTACGAGGGAGAATCGAGATACAGTTCATAGCGCAGTGATAAATGGTGTGTGATTTTAACCTCGAGATCCCGTATTTAATTCCTAACATGCTCACAATTTTTCAAAAAAATGTTTGGAGGGATGTCTCTCATTTCAAATCTTTCTTTTTATTATAAATAATCAGCTTCTCTCCTTGAGCTACTCGCCGAGGCACACTTTGACTGACACTTCCATTGCAGAAGAAGCAGAAGAGACAGATCAAAGATCAAGATGTTCAGAGCATTGCAGATCGTCCTCAGGTATAGTTTTACATGATCCTAGCTGCAAATTAAAGCTTCATCGCTGTCAAGATCGCCTTGGATTAAGAACAAGAACAGCTTAATTACTTATATGTGTTTTTGTGCAATTTTATATATTTGTGTGTTGGGTGCAGGGGTAAGAGCCGAGGATTTGTCAGTCACTTCTCCTCCACGGCTTCAAATTCTGAAAGGTTGCAAACTTAATTTCAGCATCTATTTATGTTTGATTTTTTTTTTGTTCACTTTGTGTTTGGTTGCTTGCGGGTTGTGAATCATGGAGAAGCATTGCGCCGTGACGTTTGATTTTTATTTTTTTTTTGGTTTTTGATTTGCAGGTTGGCTGGGAAGGTGGCGGTGATCACCGGCGCGGCGAGCGGCATCGGCAAGGCGACCGCGGCGGAGTTCGTCAGGAATGGCGCCAAGGTCATCCTCGCCGACGTCCAGGACGACGTCGGCCGCGCCGTCGCCTCGGAGCTCGGCGCGGACGCGGCGTCGTACACCCGCTGCGACGTCACCGACGAGGCGCAGGTCGCGGCGGCCGTGGACCTCGCCGTGGCGCGGCACGGGCAGCTCGACGTCATGGTCAACAACGCCGGCATCGTGGGCTCCCTGTCGCGCCCCCCGCTCGGCGCCCTCGACCTCGCCGACTTCGACGCCGTCATGGCGGTGAACACGCGCGGCGTCCTCGCGGGCGTCAAGCACGCCGCGCGCGTCATGGCGCCGCGCCGCCGCGGCAGCATCATCTGCGTGGCGAGCGTCGCCGGGGTGCTCGGCAGCGTGACGCCGCACCCGTACAGCGTGTCCAAGGCCGCCGTGCTCGGCGCGGTCCGCGCCGCCGCCGGCGAGATGGCGCGCTCCGGCGTGCGCGTGAACGCCATCTCCCCCAACTACATCCCCACGCCGCTGGTGATGCGCATCATGGCGGAGTGGTACCCCGGGGCGAGCGCCGACGAGCACCGCCGCGTCGTGGAGCGGGAGATCAACGAGATGGAGGGCGCGACGCTGGAGCCCGAGGACATCGCGAGGGCGGCGGTGTACCTGGCCTCCGACGAGGCCAAGTACGTGAACGGCCACAACCTCGTCGTCGACGGCGGGTACACCGTCGGCAAGGCGCCCAACCTGCCGGCGCCGCCGCAATAATCAACACGAGAATCGGCGAACGAATAATGGCAACAATTATGCATTATTACTCCGCTAATGAACAAATCATATGCTTCTCGTTGTTTTTGCATCGATCAAATGCATTGTTGTGTTGGGATCAAATGCCTTTGTTTGGAGTGGATGAGGTTTTGGGCTTTTTGCCCACGACAAACAATGTCAAGAGATGCTGCTCCAAGTCTTCTTCTTTCTTTGTTTAATTAAATTTCACAAAACGAAAGATATATCAATCAAGTTATCACAAAACTATATATTTAAAATGGTGTATCAAAAAACTACAGAGTTAGCACTAAATTTACCATAAAATTACAAATTTAAGGTGAAATATCATAAAAATATAGATTTATTAATAAAGTTATCACAAAACAGCACATTTAGCTTTGTAATACTTTTATTATTAAATTTATAGTTTTGTGATACTTAGTCTTAAACTTATAGTTTTGTGATAATTTTATTTTTAAATATGTAGTTTTGTGATACATCACCTTAAATACGAAGTTTTGTGATAATTTGATCAAAATACCTGTATTTTGTGATTTTTTTTCTTGAAATGATTAAAGAAAGAAATGCTATTCCAAGTTTGCGACCCGTCGGTCACAATATCCAAAGCTCGCATGCAAATGCAGTCCAACAAGGTAAGCTAAGCTAGCTAGCGGGAAACTATTTTAACCGCTCGAGTAGATGTCCAGCCGTTTATTGTATGTCATCTAAATGATTATAAAAAAATTAAAAAAAATATGAATAAGATAGATCAATATGTAATGTATCAATCCACAAACATGCATGTTAAAATTCAACTTCTACATACTATAACAAAAATAACAAACAAAACTCAAATTACTATATGTATATTTATAGTTAAATTTTTTATTTTTGTTACAACTTGTAGAAGTTGAATTTTAACTTGCATATTTGTGGAGTGATATATTACATATTGATCTATCTTGTTAATTTTTTTGAAAATTTTTTGTAACCATCTAGTTGACATGCAATAAACGGGTGGACATCTTTTCGAGCTATTAGAATCCATCTCCATAGCTAGCTCCAAAATCCGTACAGTGACGCGCAAAGTGAGAATAATTCAACTTGTTAGGATTTAGGAATCAGTCTACCCAAATTTAAATTCTAAATTTTACATGGGTGCTCGTATTTAAGAGTAATTATCACAAGGATTTAAATCCTAAATTTGACATAGATGCTCGCATTTGTGACTTATTATAAAAAAATCCGTATATTCTATTACACAACAATTATTTTATTAAAATAGATGGGTACCCCACGCATTGCTATCGAAGAATTATATGGTAAAATAGTAGATATGAGTTATGAAATTTTATTTCTTACTTACTATATCATTTTCTTTAATGTGCTTATATATTTAGCACTTATCTAAAGATTATAAATGACTGTGTTGTTACTATCTTTTGGGGAGAAGAGATGCAATTGCCCCGTTGATAAAACTATTCAAAGACGAAAAACAATTAAGATGATGTGGCTTCATTAGAGAGGAGAGAATTAGCATTATCTATACTTGGTGCAGATAAACTTTATAGATATATAGGATTCACGCACGTGACAGTACACTAAGGTTGTGTTCCGTTTCAGGGGATGAGAGCTAATCCCTCCCGCACGAAAAAAGGAGCGATCCATTAGCGCGTGATTAATTAAGTACAAAAAAAAACTAGGAAACGGGATTCCGTTCAACGGGATAACCTACATACATGCAGTGGCTTACATGGAGAGATCAACCCAGCTCTATACAAAAGGCAAGGGCCCACATGCATGTCCTATCCTTTTTTCTCATCCATCCATGCAGCTTATGGGTCCACGTGCATGTGCGTACATGCTTGACGTTTTGCTCCTGCATGTACGGTGCCCACATGACTTTGGCAAAGAGGTCGATCAATTCCATGCAGTAATTAATCATCAATAGTGAATACACTTATTAGATCATTAGTACAGAAATATAATCCCTCATACCTAATATGTATTATAACTTAAAAAAATATAGTGCAAAAAATGGTTCCTTGGATCCGATACCTACATATATCGTAACTGATATCTCATAAGTATCATCACTAGTACCCATGTATCATCACCAATACCTGATAGGTATCATCACTAGTACCAGATAGGTATCGTCAATGGTACCCATGTATCATTACCGGTACCTACATGTATCATCATCGGTACCTCACAGGTATCATCACTAATACCAGACAAGTATCGTTATTGGTACCCATGTATCATCACCGATACATGACATGTATCATCAATTGGTACCTATATGTATCTTCACCGATACCTTACAAGTATCATCACCGGTACCTACATGTATTATCATCGATACTGGGTATCGACCAACCGATATTGTTACAACTGATATTATAGGTACCATCGAGATACTTGGTACCTATATCAGCATGATTCCCATATGTACCAGATTTGGGACTGGATATCGGGTATTTGGCTATCAAGTACCTTGTACCTAGATTGGTCTGATACCTATAGGTACCATACCTAGTACTAGGTATCAGGGTACATAAGGTATCATATACCTAATACCAGCTGAGTATCGGGTACTAGGTACCTGGTACCTGAATTGATGTTGAACGATACCTGTTGGTATTGGGCCTGGTATCAGATATTAGCTTTAGTATCAGATTCCAACTCACATGCCACGTCACATGCATGCAACTAGTAACACAGCCACGTCACATGCATGCATGTAGCTAGCAACACAGCCACGAGTAATCAATAGAACGCTCCTGAGAGGAAGCAGGTGGCAGGGCCCCCTAGCGACGCGGAAGGGTATCTCGTTCCCACGGGATCCCGTGGTCTAGCTATCCTCATTAAGTATTAGCTATTTTTTTTAATTTGATTTGATTAAGCAATTTTCGTATAGAAACTTTTTGCAAAAAACATACCGTTGGGAAAAGGGGTGCCTCAAGAGTCCGGGTTGGTAACTCTTGCCTCCAGCATAGAAAACGGAGCGATCCATTAGCGCGTGATTAATTAAGTATTAGCTATTTTTTTAAAAAATGAATAATATGATTTTTTAAACAACTTTCGTATATAAACTTTTTTTTTTAAAGAAACACACCGAAATAGCAGCTTAAAATGTGTGCGCGCGGAAATCGAGACGGGGAGTTCCGAACCTGCACTCTCGAACGCAGCCAAGTATGCATATTTTTGGCCCGCCAGGCCACGTGCTGTGTTTTCTTTCTTTTTCCCCCAAAATTTATTCCTTTTTAATTACACAGGCCAGTCGTCTTCTTCGTCATCCTCGATCAGCGAGAGAATATAATTTGCTTCTCTCTCTCTATCGCTCGCGGTTGCTCAGGCAAGCTGAGAGCTTAATTCAGAGGCATCATGTTCACAGCGATGCATCGCATCCTCAGCAGGTATGGCGGATTCTTGTAGCTGTTCTCCGATTCGGATTTCAGAGGAGCAGCCAGCTCAGTGTGACAGTGTGAAGCTTACTGTGGAAACAAATGGCCAAATAATTGGGGTTGGTTGTTGTAATGCAGGGGGAGGAGGACACCTGCAGCTTCGTCTTCCTCCGTCACTGCCTTCGCCACCGCCTCCGATTCACAGAGGTGATTTGATCGATTCATCTTGGAGTTGCATTGAGCCATTGGTTGGGGACGCTGATTTCATCTTCTTGATTGCGAATCGGGGATGGATGTGAATGTGATTTGCGGGTCTGTAGGTTGGCCGGGAAGGTCGCCGTCATCACCGGCGGCGCCAGCGGCATCGGCAGGGCGACGGCGGAGGAGTTCGTCAGGAATGGCGCCAAGGTCATCCTCGCCGATGTGCAGGACGACCTGGGACACGCCGTCGCCGCGGAGCTCGGCGCGGACGCGGCGTCGTACGCGCGCTGCGACGTCACCGACGAGGCGCAGGTCGCGGCCGCCGTGGACCTCGCCGTGGCACGGCACGGGCGTCTCGACGTCGTCTTCAACAACGCCGGCATCCCCGGTGACCTCACGCCGACCCCCGTGGGCGCGCTGGACCTCGCTGACTTCGACCGCGTGATGGCGGTGAACACCAGGGCGGTGGTGGCGGGCGTCAAGCACGCCGCGCGCGTCATGGTGCCGCGCCGCCGCGGCAGCATCATCTGCACGGCGAGCACGGCGGGGGTGATCGGTGGCGTGGCGGTCCCGCACTACAGCGTGTCCAAGGCCGCGGTGCTCGGGCTGGTGCGCGCCGTGGCGGGCGAGATGGCGCGCTCCGGCGTGCGCGTGAACGCCATCTCCCCCAACTACATCTGGACGCCCATGGCGGCGGTCGCCTTCGCAAGGTGGTACCCCAGCCGGAGCGCCGACGACCACCGCCGGATCGTGGAGAATGACATAAACGAGATGGATGGCGTGACACTGGAGGCCGAGGACGTGGCAAGGGCGGCGGTGTTCCTCGCCTCCGACGAGGCTAAGTACGTGAACGGGCACAACCTCGTTGTCGACGGCGGGTACACCGTCGGCAAGGTGCCCAACATGCCGGTCCCAGATGGCCATTGATAATGTACCACGGTTGATGAATAATAATGTTGGTGATGTGTACACAATTCGTAGTATTAACTCTGTTTCATACTGTAAGTTCGTTTGGACTCTTTTTAATCAAACTTCTTTATGTTTAATTAAATTTATAAAAGAAAATTAGCAACATTTACACCATTAAATTAGTTTCATTAAATAAAAACATTAAATATATTTTGATAATATATATATTTTGTATTAAAAATCTTGCTACATTTTTCTATAAATTTTGTCAAATTTAAAAATTTTGAATAGAAAAAAATCAAAGCGACTTATATAATACTCCATATGAAGCAGAGGGAGTATATTGTGCCAATCAGATTCGTGTTATGATTACAATGACATTTATGTTTAGAAGAAAAAAAAAGGGGCTGTTTATATATCATGTGACAGAAAATTCCACCTCCTATCATTCGAATTTTGGACCATTGGATGTGCTTCAAGATTCGTGCAGACCTTTTAACTTAACTCGTCTCCTCCTCCCCCGGTTCCAGATCGCGCCGCCACCCTCTTCCTCCCATCCCACGCGCGATCCACCACCGCCACCACCGCCACCGCCCCACCGCGCCGCCGCCAGCCTCGCCAGCTGGCCGGAAAAGGTCAACGGCACCGGCGAGCCCCCTCCCCCTCCCCCTTCCCCTTCCCCCCTCACTTTCTTCTCATGGCGGCGACGACGAGGTGCCCCCGCCCCGCCGTCTTCCCCGTCTCCGGCGGCTCCCCACCGCCGGATCCACCACCACCGGCCGCCGCCTCCTAATCCCACGCTTGCTTTGCCCCTGCCGCCAACGCTGGCCCACCACCCTCCTCCATCCCCGCGGCTTTGGCGGCGTCACCGCCGCTTCGCCGCCCACCGGAGTCCACCGCCCACTGCCGGTCCTCCGCCGCCCACGGCCATCCCTCTAAGCCCCGAGGAAACCCCTCTCTTCCCCCTCCCTCAACCCCCCTCCTATCCTCACCCAAACCCCAAACCCTAATCCGCCGGAGTTGGGGTGTCGTCGGCGCCGGAGAAGAAGGGGAGCCCGCCGGAGTTGGAGGAGAGAAGCCAATGCACAAATCTTGGTATGGATCCAATGATCAAAAAACTGTAAGATTTCATCCCCAAATTTCATTCGAATGCCATATAGCAATCTCAAAAAAAAAAAAAAAGAGGTAAGATCACTATCACTCCACGGAAAAACAGGGCGACGCCCGCATGAATGATGTGCTGAATTAACGAATGAATGGGCCGGGCATGCACGGAGTGGACCAACTCATTCTTTTTTCTCAAGTTAAGGAAGATGATTAATTGATTATATCTCCGGCCTATGTATCTATGCTGTGTTCTTTTGCTGGCTTTCCCAACTTACCCTTTTTTTTCGTATGTATGTTTTTTAATTGTTAAACGGTGGTGTGTGTTTTGTAAAGAATAATGGAGAAGTAGAAGGAGAAGATTATTCAACCATATTAATGTTTAATTAACCTCAAGCTTGTTGACACGATAGGGAAATATAAATCTTATGAGTATATGAGTTTATAAAAAATGATGATCAAATATTATAATGCTTGATTTAAGACAAAACAAGTAATTTGAAATAGAGGATTAAATTCTAGCCCGATTATCTCACATGACATCCTTGCTCATTCTAAAGTCTAAACCCACTGGTTGTCTAGTTTTGACTTCACCGTTGACCACGCTTGTCCTCAAGTAAACACGCATACTATAGATAAACCAAGAGAACTTCAATATATTTGGTCTCTTTTGAAACACGGGATTAACAAAACATAGGAATATGAAAAGTATATGATTTTTACAGGAATGCAAATGTAAAACACAAAAAAAAAGAATGATTTGTTTGAATAGATATAGACCGTAGGAATCAAATGCGAGAGATAAACTCAAAGAAAACTTTCTGAGAGGTTGGAACTCTTGCTAATTTTTTCTTCAAAATCTATATACATTGAGCCATTCCTTTGGAATTTCATAGAATTTAAAAAGCTCAAATCCTTTATTTCAAAGAGCTAAATAGGAACATCTTCTATGGGATTTGAATCTACAAAATTCATTCACAAATCCTTCGTCTCTCAAAAGGGCCTTAACGTAATAAATATCAAACATACTCCAACAATAATTGAAAAGAAAAAGAAAGGATATTCAACCACATTAATGTCCAGTTAAGTTTGAGCGCGGCCAACCACCTTGAAGAAAAATCCAACCACGTGATTTGAAAAATTGCTACGCGTACGATGAAATTCGTACTACGTTAGGTCCCATATTTATCGCATACACCAGAGACTCTGTGTTCGGGAGGAGGGTTCCCAACCCCTCCTCCCTGGCACACAAAATAAAACATCTATTATTGTATAATTAATTAAGTATTTACTAATTTTTTTTAAAAAATAGATTAATATGTTTTGTAAGCAAATTTCGTATATAAATTTTTTTAATAAAAACACACCGTTTAGCAGTTTTTAAAAAGCGTGAGCGCGAAAAACAAGTGAGGGAGGTTGGAAAAGGGAGGTAACGAACGGAGCTACATGTATCGTACTATCATCGTATCAAGTTTAGTATCGTACTATCATCGTATGAAGTTATATCGTACGTATTAGACTGCTGCGTGGTCTGTGTATCAATATATACATTTCTCGTACGATCTATATGACGACTCCTGTGGTATATGATGCGTGCAATGCCTCCTTTTCTTTTTCTCTAGAAGTTTTCATGTTCCCCAAGTCAAACCATACGGTGGAATAGATGAAAGAATGCACGGTTTGCAATGACGGTGAGGTTTGTGAGTTACTATTCTCTTTCATGAGGGCGCCTAGCTCTTCTGTGTTTTTTCTTCTAGCAATTTTACCATTCAACATATTTAGTATCTCGATGTACCATATTTTATACATAAAAATTTAATACCTCGAGGTACTAAATTTTACACTAGAAAGTATCTTGAGGGTATTAAATTTTATACTAGAAAGTATCTTAAGGTACTAAAAGTTTATGATATTTTAAGGTGCTAAATTTTATACTAGAAAGTAAGTATCTTGAGGTACTAAAAGTTCATGGTACTTAAATTTTACACTAAAAAGTATCTTGAGATATTAAAGTTTATGGTACCTACAGATGCCAAATATATTTGGATAGTAAAATTGCTCGTTCATACTGGTTTAATGGCCCATCAACTTTGATATTTGCACATGGCCTATTCACATCATCTCGGACAATATCGTTACCAAATGATGGGTGTGGTTATATTTACAACGCCGCATTTTCTATACTCCCTCCGTTTCGAAATGTTTGACACCGTTGACTTTTTAGCGCATGTTTGACCGTTCGTCTTATTCAAAAACTTTTGTGAAATATGTAAAATTATATGCCTACATAAAAATATATTTAACAATGAATCAAATGATAGGAAAAAAATTAATAATTACTTAAATTTTTTGAATAAGACGAACGGTCAAACATGTGATAAAAAGTCAACGGCGTCAAACATTTCGAAATGGAGGGAGTATAAGAAATCATCCTTTGACAGTACAAATCAACATTGTAACCACGTTATAAATTTAAAAAATTAAAACTGTAAATTTCAATTCTAATATTAAATTTTTTCTAGTACACTATATAAGAGAATTACGATAAAAACAATCGATTATTTACTTGAGAAAGTAGATAGAAGAGATAGAAACATATATATACTTTACATAAAAATGTAAAAGAGATGACAATCACATAGGCTAAAAACGACTGCAGACATCAAGCTTAAAAATGTAACACCATGTTTTCTATTAGCAAAACCACAAAATCATCTCCGACAACGTTGGCATCGCGGCGCAACCGGTGGTCAAATTAATTGACTGAATTAATTACTGCTTCGTAAATCCTCCATTTCGTGTGTTCGATTGACACTAGCACTGATCAGGACAAGAGAAAAAGGGAAGAAGAAGCCAAAGCCATTGTGCTATCTCTCGCAGAAAGATAGGAGAGCCTGATAGGGAGATGACCATATGCGGCTGATCTACCATCTACTTCACAGTAGTAGAATTTCTCAGCATGCTAGGTAAAAAACGGAACTCTTTCGGATCATAAATATTAATTTCATGTCTAGGACACGATTCGTTTAAGCTGTTTAAAATTCAAGTTCCGCTAGAAGCACGGGCTGAGTTGCCAAACATCTGCTTCCTCCGTTTTTTAATATATATACAACACCGTTTGATTTTTAAGATACGTTTGATCATCCGTTTTAAATAAAAAGTTGTGTAATTATTATTTATTTTTATTGTAACTTAATTTATCGTTAAATGTTATTTCAGCTTGACTTAAAAATATTTTATATGTGCAAAATAATTGAATAAGATAAATAATTAAATATTTGGACTAAATCGTGGAAATCAAGAACGAAAAAGAGAGGCACGTGCTGACGGTGGCCGACCGGCCTTCCTGAAGGGGGCTCGCAGTGCATCAAGCCAACCAACCGGCTGTTGGCTGATGGCAAAATGCGGGAAATTCAGAATTCACTTACTTCCTCCATTTTTAAATATAGCACATTTAGTACGAGTGAGTTAGTTTAGAAAATGAACTAACTATCCTGATTAGATATTTAAAATATAAAAATGGAGATAATACAATTTAACATTAAGTTATTATTCACGTGTCACGGGTATGTCGACATGAACAATACGGAGATCGGCAGTGGCATAACCCCATTTAAATCCTATAAAAATACTACACAATTTCTGAAAATTGTTAAGTTGGGTATTTTTCATCTTTGTCCCTCATGGCGATCTCGCGCATTGCTGTAGGAATTTATAGATCTATATATGAAGAAAAAACTTAGTACTTAAAATATGATAGGGATCATGGTGTACAACTTTTGAATCACTATGTTAAATTTTAAGTTGCAATTCTCTGTCTTCTAGTTAGCTTTATTTCAGCTAGATCACGAAGAGGAACGATGCTAAGAAGGAACTTAGCATCAATTATCAATTATTAAGAGAGAAGAAATGGTGAGAAAACCCAGCGTTGAGGGGCCAACGAGAGCACCTGGTAGCTCCCTACCACCGGGCTACAACGCCGTTCTCAGCAGGGGGCCACCACCATCCTTCCATATTCGGCCAAAACACTACCTTATAAGTGTGTTTAGTTCACGTCAAAATTGAAAGTTTGGTTGAAATTGAAACGATGTGATGGAAAAGTTGGAAGTTTATGTGTGTAGGAAAGTTTTAATGTGATGGAAAAGTTGGAAGTTTGAAGAAAAAGTTTGTAACTAAAGTCTAGGTCACGGACAAACAGGAGAAGAAGAAGAACATGCTGCTTGTTGTGACTGCACCGACGTCTTTCGTGGAAGGACGTGATCCTGCGGTCCGGCACGCCGTGGAATAACGCATGGCGATCAAAGACCAAGGACGATTGGAAGGTAAGCTGGCTCGGCCCTTCTTAAGGAGGCTCAAGGTGAGCCAGAGGCCATGATCACATCATACCTTCTTCCTAACCTTGCAAAATTAGGGAACAATTAATTCAGCTACTAGTAGCTGAATTTGGAGCTAGCTAATTAACAGGATGTTCAGAGCTGCGCAGCTCCTCCTCAGGTACATATCAGGCTTAATTGTACTGTGTTAGTGAGAGTGAGACTCCAAATTACTAGTTGATTAGGATGACTTGATAAGTGCATGTCCATTTGTGTGGCTGGCAGGGAGACGAACAGAGCTCTTGGGGCAGCAACTTCGCCTGCAGGCTTCGTCAGTGGCTTCTCCACGGCTTCCAACTCTGCGCAGAGGTTCGCTCTTTGGTCAAGTTCGTTGTACTAAAACGTATCACATCATAAACTTTTAAACTTTTAAAGAATTATATGTAAGGATAGTGATTGAGACAATTAGACTATGTTTATTTATAAAATATGTATATATTGATGTTGCAGGTTGGCTGGCAAGGTGGCTGTCATAACCGGTGGAGCTAGCGGCATCGGCAAAGCGACAGCCAAGGAGTTCATCGAGAATGGCGCCAAGGTCATCATGGCCGATGTCCAGGATGACCTCGGCCACTCCACCGCAGCGGAGCTCGGCCCGGACGCCTCGTACACGCGCTGCGACGTCACCGACGAGGCACAGGTCGCGGCGGCCGTCGACCTCGCCGTGAAGCGGCACGGCCACCTCGACATCCTCTACAACAACGCCGGTGTCATGGGCGCCATGCCGCAGGACGACATGGCGTCCGTCGACCTCGCCAACTTCGACCGCATGATGGCGATCAACGCCCGGGCGGCGCTTGTCGGCATCAAGCACGCCGCGCGCGTCATGTCGCCCCGCCGCAGCGGCGTCATCCTCTGCACGGCCAGCGACACGGGCGTCATGCCCATGCCCAACATCGCCTTGTACGCCGTCTCCAAGGCAACCACCATCGCCATCGTGCGCGCCGCGGCGGAGCCGCTGTCGCGCCACGGCCTGCGGGTGAACGCCATCTCGCCGCACGGCACCAGGACGCCGATGGCGATGCACGTGTTATCTCAGATGTACCCCGGCGTAAGCAAAGATGATTTGGAGAAGATGGCGGACGCCGCCATGGACGCCGGAGAGGTGATGGAACCTAAGTACGTCGCTAGGGCGGCGCTGTATTTGGCTTCGGACGAGGCTAAGTATGTCAACGGGCACAACCTCGTCGTTGACGGCGGCTTCACGTCGCACAAAGGATCCGACACACGTTTGAATTAGCGATGTGTCCAACTATAGATGGACAAATGGACCGCTCGGCCCGGGCACGACCAGACACGGACCAATATGAATTAGTCACATGTGCTCCTCATTGGAATAAGTCTGTTGTACCTCCCTCATCTGTTTGGGTTGTCTTATATGGCTGGATTAAGTCAATTTTGCATCCCTCGTCTCCTTGGGCCATGCCTTATGTGACTAGAAGAAGTCTATATTGCATCCCAAATCGTTGGATCGGGTCGTGCCAGGCCGGCATGTCGTGCCAAGGAAAAGGTCCAAGCACGGCCCAACAATCGGGCTGTGCTGGCACGGGCCTAACAACAATCGGGTTGTGCCGTGTCTAGGCCGGGCCAAAACCCCGTGCTGTGGGTTGAGCCGTCGGGCCCTAAGCCTTTTGGCCATCTATACGTCCAACTAACATATATTGAACAGACACCACTACTTGTCTTGGTAGTCTCGTTAGAATAAGATAAGGTTGTCACATATGTGTTGTCGGAATTAGAAAAATATCATTGATATGATGGTAGAGTTATTGCTGCATGACTCTAGTCATATAATTTAAATTCTGGTTTTCTAAAAGAAATGTTAAATTTTGGTGTTCATAAGTATGATTGTGTGCATCAGTGGATTACAGTAGACGACTAGGCAATTTTCATAATTTACTATCTATATATGTACAATACAATAAAACAAAACTTGCATGGGCAACTCTAAGGAGGTATGATTGTGTCATCGTAGTAAATTTATGTTTTAAATTAAGGACACATATATAAATATTTATTTATAAATTATTTTTTTAAGTTGCTAATAAATCATCCGGATAAGCATAAGGATAAATGAAACGATAGAACCCTCAATCTATCGCAATCGTTGAGTCACTGGTAGCCGCGCCACAGCCATTGCAGCTGCTTCCTTTCATTGACAGCTTGGAGGATAAGACACGTGCAAATTGCCATGGAAAATTGGCAATGCCACAAGAGAAGAGAAGGTCCACCTTATCAACAACAATTAAGAGAAACCATGTGGAAGAAGCTGACACTGTACTGATTCCGGCACGCAATAATAGAAGACAAGAGACAAGGGGTAGGTAAGATGGCTGGCCTTCTTAAGGAGAGGCCATCTGTTAATTAGTACTACCTGATTTCAAGCAAAGGCTTGATCAGAATTAATCCATTTAATTCTGCTCTGCCTTGCAAGGAACTTTGCCTGCAGGCTTCTCCATGGATTCCAACTCCATCCAGCGGTTTGCTGCTCTTTATTTCAGCTCCTTTGCTGCGAATAATTATAATTTAGACATATTCTTTTCTTAGAGTATAGTAGTAATGTACATTAGTCCATATAATTAATTTTCTGATACAATAGGAATAATTTTTATCTTCGGCTTCTGTCATAAGACGGTGTATTTATGGATGTCGCTTGCAGTTTGGCTGGCAAGGTGGCTATCATTACCGGTGGAGCCAGTGGCATCGGAAAGGTTACAGCAAAGGAGTTCATCAAGAATGGTGCCAAGGTCATCATCGCCGATGTCCAGGACGAGCTCGGCCACTCTGCGGCGGCCAAGCTCGGCCCGGACGCCTCGTACACGCACTGCGATGTCACCGACGAGGCGCAGGTCGAGGCGGCCGTGGACCTCGCTGTGAGGCTCCACGGCCACCTCGACATCCTCTACAACAACGCTGGCATCATCGGCGCCATGCCGCAGGACGACATGGCGTCCGTCGACCTCGCCAACTTCGACCGCATGATGGCGATCAACGCCCGGGCGGCGCTCGTCGGCATCAAGCACGCCGCGCGCGTCATGGCGCCGCGCCGCAGCGGCGTCATCCTCTGCACGGCGAGCGACGCGGGCGTCATGCCCATCCCGAACATCGCCATGTACTCCGTCTCCAAGGCGACCACCATCGCCATCGTGCGCGCCGCGGCGGAGCCGCTGTCGCGCCACGGCCTGCGGGTGAACGCCATCTCGCCGACGGGCACCAGGACGCCGATGATGATGCATATCATCTCCCAGATGACCCCCGGCGTGGGCGAGGACGACCTGGAGCGGATGGCGGACGCCGCCATCAGCGCCGGCGTGGCCATCGAGCCGGAGTACGTCGCGAGGGCGGCGGTGTACCTCGCCTCCGACGAGGCCAAGTACGTCAACGGGCATAACCTCGTCGTCGACGGCGGCTTCACAACGCATAAAGGAGACGACAATCGCATGAATTAATGACACACCCAACTAATTAATCGATCGAACACCCTTGTTCGTCGACTCGTCAGAATAATAAGGTTGTGGTGCATATGTACGTGCATTGCACTTGATAGTGCAGCGGCAAGGAGTGTGTCCCTCCAATTCTCGTTTTTTTATTCCCGAATTTTGGCTAATATATATGTTCTCAGAGTTATAAAAACACCGTTACTTTTTTTTATAATAGAATAGAATATTTCGGCATTTGCTAAGAAGAGCTACAGCTAATTATTGCAATCTAGCACTCTAAAAAGACCATTACTGTGGTGTAGGAATCATGGGCAGGGTTTAATATATCAGAAAGGAGAAATTTTTCGGAAATTCCCAACGAAATTTTCAAACAAAATTTGAAGTTAAACAACAAAATTACAGAAAATTTACCTAGATCAGAATATAGGTAAGTGATCAAGTCCAGCTAATCCAAAGCAGAGTGACAGGAGAATGATGAAATGCACTTTATGCAACGATGCTAGGCCAGCTTTGTGGCTTGTGTCTTCGTCCTCGTCGTGCCGAAGAGCCAAGGAGCTGCCGCCGGCGACTCCAGAACAGTGTTTTGCCGAAGTTCTTGACCGGAGCATACTGTGTATTGGGACTCACCGATAGACCCAAAAATTTGAAAATTTCGTTCCGGGATTTTGAACCCTTGGTCATGGGTGCATCACTTCGATCATCAAGATTTAAATTTAGCTTTTATAAATAGAGTCATTATAAATTTACAGGTTTGAAAAAAATACCATTACTATTCACGAAATTAGAAGCATGCCATTAAAATTTAGCATGCCTTCGAGATATATCACTGCTTACCCTTTCGCTGAAATTTATAGATTTTTCTGACCAAATTGCCCTCATCTTCTTCCTCCATCCTCTTCTTTTTTTTTTTGCCCTCATCACCCTACATCTATGAACTGGACCGGCATATCCTTTTTTTTTTTTTAGAAACACAGCATATCACCCTACCCCTATGAACTGGACCGGCATATCACCCTACCCTTTTTTTTTGAGAAAATCACAACGTCCTTTTTTTTTTAGAAACACAGCATATCACCCTACCCTTTTTTTGAGAAAATCACAACATCCTTTTTTTTTTAAGAAACACAGCATATCACCCTACCCCTTTTTTTTTTAGAAACACAGCATATCACCCTACCCTTTTTTGAGAAAATCACAACATCCTTTTTTTTTAAGAAACACAGCATATCACCCTACCCTTTTTTGAGAAAATCACAACATCCTTTTTTTTTAAGAAACACAGCATATCACCCTACCCCTATGAACTGGACCGGCATATCCCTTTTTTTTTAGACCTTTTTTTTAGAAACACAGCATATCACCCTACCCCTATGAACTGAACCGGCATATCATATCTTGAGATTGACGAAGTCACCACAGGCGCCTCGCTGTCGACGGGTATGTCGCCTACCACTAAAAGAATAATTAGCCATAAATGCGAGCACCCGTGTTAAATCTAGGATTTGAACCTGGGTGGGCTGGTTCCACCACAAGAAAGCTAACCAGTTGAGTTATGCTCACTTCGCGGCTACGATTTGATTTGAATCCACACAAGACACAACTCGCAGGGTACGATTTTTTAAATTCAATTGGCATAATTTATTAATGGTAGTCGTTACAACAATAATAACATATTCCTATTTATTATTAAAAACGTCAACGGACAAAGTCCAGTGAGGTGAGGGCAGTTTTGGTCTAGTATTAACCCTTGAATTATTTGACCTCGTTGCCGTGAGAAAAATACAACCTCTTACTTTGTGTATACCTACTCCTTACGTATGCTGGTCGACGCACGACTCTCCCAGTGTGAAGTCTAATTAAATTTCTAAGTTTGAGAATTAAGAAATAAAAGGTTGTACTTAGTTTAGTCCTAACTATATTTTTATTGATTTAATAGTTTTAAATTGACAAGTACCATATGACAGTACAACAATCATGTTTGTTAACCTTTAACTAACTAATTCTTTAAATCATAGTAAACTCCGTTCCTTCGACGCTGTTGACCGCTATGATTTTATCTTCAACTAGTAAAAGCTTTTAAATTATAATATTTTGATGAATGCAAGCAGTATAGTTATATTTAAGCATGCAAAATACCTGGATAACACGACATATTTTAAATACTGTTTTAGCTTATACATAAATAAGTATCTGGTGTGAAAAATTTTGAAAAAAAATATTTTTCCACCATTTTACATGAATATAAATGGTTAGAAGGGATTGACATGTATATATTGTTGTTGTAAAGTGGGTGTGCGAATTCGGAGCGAATTTGCATGAGGAGTGCGTAAACCTATGACTTGTTTGTGATGTCATCATGACTTGGACAATTGGACAAGTCTTACCTCCAATGTAGTGTTATTAGTTACTGTGTGTTTTATATAATATACATATGATCATTTATGTTTTTGAAAAAAAATCAGCAAGTATAAGAAATATGTCATCATGATGTCTTAAGTGATAAATCAAATTACAACAAAGTAAATAATAATTACATAATTTTTAAATAAAATAAACGGTCAAATATATGTAATTATTATTTTAATACTACATTGGAGGTAAGACTTGTCCAATTGTCCAAGTTATGATGATATCACCAACGTATTACTCTAAAATAATGTATTTCTCAATGGTTAGCCGTTAATTAAGAAACAACGGTTTCTAAAATAACGGACATATGTTTTGAAATGAAGAGATCATAAAGCTCTAACGCTGGTGATGAGCAGTCAGCACTACTACCGGGCCCAAAATTGGAGTATGTTTATTGGTGTAAAAAAATTAACTTCGTTTCTGGTATATTATAATACATGTGATGTTTCCATGACCACTCAATATTGTTATTATTTTCGCATTAATTATATTCTAGAGCGCAAAGAACAGAGATTTCAAGTATATATGAATAGCGACAACGGTCACGAAAATTTCCGATCAACCAAGCGTCGTCTCCATAGTACGTGACAATATATAAAATTTAGTTTTTTCTAATTTCTTTCATCATCATATTGTTATTGACACTGAATATTAAATTGATAGTTATAATTAATTGACGGCCGGCTGAGAATCGTCTCCTAAGAGATGCTATCCATATCAACCATTATTTACATCATTATGTATGAAAACGGAATTTGATATTTTCTAGTCCAATAAAACCCCTTATTGACTCTCATACCTTAATTGATTCTCAGCGTCTAGACTGTTTGCATACATTTTTCAATTTAAAGTTTTCTTTCACCAATATGGTTTCTAGATCTATTAGTATTATCATTTCAACAATAATAACAAACAATTAATTGTTAGGTTTAGGTTAGACTAGGCACACAAGTACTCATATATACGACTAAATTATTCTTTCAGTGATAAGTGATATGCTAAATAGTAACACAATACAACGACTTTATCATCTTAAAGAGATGGGTCTAATCTTCGGAGACGTTTATAGATATAGAATGCGCGTGTGCACGTCATGGGTGAGTGTGCACATAAACACGTATATATGAGAGTGTGACCTAAACCGTGTTTTAAAAATAAACAGCAAACTGCATAGGAAGATATGAACGCGATTATATGATCGTCTATGTACGAAGATCAAAGAAAAGACCTGTCCATAGTTTAGGTCTAGAATATGTATATTTACGGTCGATCGAATTTGACCCTGTTGCCGTGAGCCAGCAGATTTCGAAGAAAATTCAGCCCCATCTTGCTTGCTTCTTCTACAAGTATACATCCTTGTATATGAACATGTACTCGGAGTCCTGAAATTAGTAGTGAATGGTCATAATTATAGCTAATGGTTTTTTATTTGTTCTAGATGAGTTAGTTATTCAGGTCGAGTTTAGTTCCAAACTTTTTCTTCAAACTTTCAACTTTTTTATCACATCAAAATTTTCCTACACACAAATTAACTTTCATCTTTTCCGTCACATCATTTCAATTTCAATCAAACTTATAATTTTAGCGTGAACTAAACACACCCTCATTTATGTACCTTTTAAGTTAGTTATTCATTTTATCAGAGGAGTTTTTTCTTTAAAACAAAATTTATTAGAGGAGTTTGGGACTTGTCCCATCACCAGATATATGTTTTCAACAACAAAATTTATGGTGCCTATCCACGTACAGTTCCACACAGGCTGAGAATATAATTAATTTCATTTCCATTATATACATAAAAGTGTAGTGGTCAGTGCAGATTCTTCTCGACCGTGTGCAGTGGTGCAATGTCTGCATATTTCTCAAGTCAAATCACGCGGTGGGAAGAAAAATCTCACAGGGTGTATGTGTTGGAAAAGGAGGCCTCATATAGAACTTGTAGGTCATCTCCGTTGGATATACTCCGTCTGTTTTTTTTTTAATAGATGATGCTGTTAACTTTTAAAACTTATATTTGACGATTCATCTTGTTTAAAAAATTTATATAAAGTATAAGATATAAATTATACTTAAAATTACTTTGAGTGACAAAGTAACTCACAACAAAATAAATTTTAATTATGTAAATTTTTTGAACTAAGATGAATGACAAACATATAATAAAAAGTTCATGGCATCACCTATTAAAAAATAGAGGTAGTAATAAGTACTATATCTATTTTTTAATAGATGATTGATCAATTTCGTGAGGGAAAAAGTACTGTTGGAGTAAAAATGTAGGAAAAATAAAATCTGCTTTAAGATCTCTTGTTTCCCTTTAATTTCCTCAACGCAAGAACGAGCAAATTAGTGATCGTAATGATACGGGTTGTTCGCTGTTGTATCCTGCCCGCATGACCCTCAACGTGTGAAAAGATAGATGATGATTAAAGTGCTAGGTACTTGTTTTTAATAATGGAATTAATTTTGATCTGTATTCAAAAGAAGCTATATCGTCAATTATCATATTTTTTTACAACTTGATTAAAAAAAACATCTTAGAATTCCAACCTTATTATATAGACATAGCACCCATTTGACGTTGAACACAAACAAAAGACAACATCGGAGAGTAACTACGCTGTAAATTAGTCATCCATCCAGACTTGCAATGCCATAACCATTGAAGCCGATCTGATGGGAAAGCCGAGGTCAAGATATATAGGATATCCTCGTCGCTATGTCAATCGTTAATAATATTATGGCCGGATTTGTCTTAAAATAATTTCCAATATTATAAGTTTCCTATATTTTTACAGTCTATACTAGTAGTCCATAATAAAAAGTAATCTTGGTGAGCATGACACTGTCCAAAAGTCACTTATTTGTGGCCACAGGGAGTATTTATTATATTAGTATTGTAGATAAATAATAAACTAAACGGCATTATGTTATCTTCTAGGTAAAAAAACTAGCATCACCAACAGTTTGCACTCTTTGTCAGGAGATTTTTTTTTTACCAACCAACTCGGCACATCTCACACATTTTTGTAAGTGGACAATTTTTTAGTTTCTTTGTAAAAATAAATGGGGCCTATATCCCGAAATTGTTTTTTATAGTTACTGTAGGAGAAGTTTTTGTGGTACAATCTTATATATAGTAGTAAATTTCATAAAACATCACTTATTATGGTCCAAGTTTCGCAAAACCATATATAGGAACTTTGACGTGGCACATAACCCCATGTATTATGATTCTAACATTTCACAAAAGCACAGTAATAATTATTTTGACTTTGATCTACCACACTTTTAAGGTCTACAAGAAAATCTCAAATTTATAAGCATTTTATCCATTATATATATGTCATATCTATTTTTTCTATTTTTTCTATTTTGATATAGGTGTATGACAAAATAGTTAACATTGTGGTTTTATGAAACTTTAGAACCATAATACCTAGGGTTATGTGCCATATGCCAACTTGGACTATAATAGATGGGGTTAATGAAATGTACTCTATATATAGTATAGGGGATAAGTACATGGAAAATAAAGGGGAAAAACTCTGCATACTATGAAATTACGAGGGAAGCCCATGAGGAAAACATTGGTCTAGAGGAAACTGACAATTACCCCCCCCCCCCTCCTCTCCATTTGAAACTATGAAAATATACAAGGTCTACTGGTAAAAAATATAAGATGTGTTTGTTTTCCGTAAAGTCAATATTTAAAATTCTGAACTAATAATTAAACTAAAAATATATGTGTCAAGTGCTATGCATGTAGTATCACTATATTGGTATTTGAAAAATATTTTTATATAATATTAATTTATAGTTGTTGATAATATATTAGAAAGAAAATATTGGCCTAAGTATAATGTTGGAAAATTTGTATAAATCTATTACGTCTTATATTTCCAAATGGAGTACTCCCTCCGACTTCATATTAGTTGTCGGTGAAGCAATGCATTGTGTGGATGATAATTCCTACGTTTGAGCATTTCTGTGGAGGTTTATGACGAATTTCACCCTGTTAATTAAACTAATTAATGAGTTAATGATATTGTTGTTTGCAATATCAATATTGCTTCCACTACCATGGTGCATAATATGACTAGGATGGTGTCTTTAAAATTAAATAAGCAGCCACCTAAAATGAAAAATAATGTGGTAAGTGAATAAATGAGGAAAAAGAAGAAAATCATGTCTTGCATGAGACTTGATTTCTGTACAATATCCAAGACATCATGTAAGATAAGTAGCATTAAATTTAAGTATGGAATAGTGATAATGTGGAGTTTATGGAAACTATTTATAGTGTCTTGTGATGAAATGGCCTAACTAATCAGCTCCATTGCAAGGGCAGCATGGTGTGGTCTTCTATTTAATTTAATATGGGTAATGTAGGAATAGTTACCCTAATTAATTATAACTTGATATGTGAGATTATGATAAAAATATCAATAAATATGTAAAGTTCTAGATTCCTATGACCATCTGCATGACGACCAGCTGGCAGCTGATTAACTAACGGCAGTACGATCTATCAACCTGAAACCAATTAATTTTTAACGAGTTTGTTAACTTATTTTTCTTCCTTCTTAGTACGTAGTAGGAGTATATATAATATATACAAATAGCCGGTCAATTTTGATCTTTCAAATTGAGAATACGTCCTCTCGACCTATACTGGTCGGCGTTCAAACAAAAATCCATATGCATATGCATATGCATATGCACACGTAACGCGGCTATATCTAGCCTTCTTATATTAAGGAGGTTCGTAGTATCCATCTTTGTCGATCGAGCTAGAGCCAACAACGATCAGCTCCATTCTGCTTCTGCTTTATTTCTACCTTGCTAATTTTATTAGGATAGTAATTAAGCTTGCTTAATTATTCGTTCTACCAGGATGTTCAGATCAACAGCGCAACGCCTCCTCAGGTATGAGTTTGAATGTTAATTAATTAGATCAAGATATATTGAGGAAGCTAATTTGATTTAAACATGCATTTTACACAAATCTTTGTTTGCTGTCTTCGAAATTGTAAAATGCATGTTTTGAAACCAAATTGACAATACATATAGTTTTTTCATATATTTCTTCACAAACATAGATTTGTGTTCTCGCCTATATAATTATATTTGCATTGCCATTTCTATTTCTTAGTGTGTATATACATAGATAACATGATAACTTGTTGTCTGTTTTTGTAATGTTAACATGCAAGAGAAAAAAAGTGTATTTACGATATGTATAATACATTAATACTTTAGGTTTAAGGCCAGGGTATAAGGCTGCTAGTACCGCGTATTCGTATACGTACATGTGATCTGACCGCGTATTCGTATACGTACAGGGAGACGAAGAGAGTGGTTGGCCCAAGGATGACGACGATGACGTCGACTTCGCCTGAAAGTCTAATCGCCGGTGGATTCTCCACGGCGGCGAGCTCCCACCAGAGGTTGGCCGGCAAGGTGGCCGTCATCACCGGCGCCGCCAGCGGCATCGGCAAGGCGACCGCCGCGGAGTTCATCAGGAACGGCGCCAAGGTGATCATCACCGACGTCAACGACGACCTCGGCCACGCCGCGGCGGCGGAGCTCGGCCCGGACGCCACGTACGCGCGCTGCGACGTCGCCGACGAGGCGCAGGTCGCCGCCGCCGTCGACCTCGCCGTGGCGCGCCACGGCCGCCTCGACGTCATGCACAACAACGCCGCCATCCCGGGGAGGTTCCCGCAGGACGACATGGCGTCCGTCGACCTCGCCGACTTCGACGCCATGATGGCGGTGAACGCCCGCGCGTCGCTCGCCGGCATCAAGCACGCCGCGCGCGTCATGGCGCCCCGCCGCGCCGGCGTCATCCTCTGCACGGCCAGCGCCGTCGGCGTCCTCCCGCTCCCGGCGGTCGCCACGCACTCCATCACCAAGGCCACCATCATCGCCATCGTGCGCGCAGCGGCGGAGCCCCTGGCGCGCCACGGCCTGCGGGTGAACGCCATCTCGCCGGGCGCCGTCAGGACGCCGGTCCTGCAGGGCAAGGTGTCGGTGATGTCGGCGTCGTCTCCTACCATGAGCGACGAGCTGAAGCAGATGATCGACGTCGACGCGAACGACATGATGATGGGGCCGGAGGAGGTGGCCATGGCGGCGGTGTACCTCGCCTCCGACGAGGCCAGGTACGTGACCGGCCACAACCTCGTCGTCGACGGCGGGTACACCGTGCACAAAGGAGCTGACACACCGGCGGCGCGTTGAACGCAGCCAGACATATCTAAAATAAATCAACTTAGTACGAAATATAGTATATCTAGATTCGTAGTATCAAAATGTGTCATAAGTTTATTTTAGAATTGAGTAATTAAGTAGCTAGCATGAGGTGTCCTCCATGCATAAGTACCCAACCTCATCATTGTTGGAATAAAGGATAGGGTGTGAAAAAATTCTACGAGATCAGATTTAAGTTTAGACATATTTCTCAAAACAACCGCGTATGTACATGTTTTATAATTAATTAATTCCCATAGAAAATATAGTGGCATTACCATTTATTTGTTTATTTTTCAGCCGAGCGTTGAAGTGGACTAATTTTGTTCTATGTACTTGACCTCGAATAACGAATTGAATGGGCTAGCAGCTAATCGCGCTTGAAAAGTAGAGCTTTGACAAAAAGGAAAAAAAAAACATGAAGATCCTTGTTTGAGTCCTTGAACAACTCTCCGGTCTGACAATCAACTTTTCAGAAGTGAAATTTTCTTCTTCGAGAGAAAGAGGATAAGTATAGACAAATGTCTAGATCGATGTATTTTCCATTCTAGCTACTTCGGTATACTCATTTATTATCGGAAGCTTTGCAATATTAACTCGGAAATAGTTAATAATGCAGTATAAGTTTAAGGGAAAGCTTAGCACTTGGAAGGGAAAAAAACAATCTCATATGGTGGAAGATTAGTCCTTGTAAACTATGTTAGTTTAATTCTTCCCATGTTATGTTCTCATTCTTTGAAATTCCAGGGGTACTTCAAGACTAGACTTTTAATCACATATCACTTTTTTTAAAATAATGACAACAACAAATAGATTAATCAAATTACAAACAATATATCGATCAAAAGACAAAGGTGAACTAGGTGTTGATCAGAACCTTACTATCAAGAATAGGTGTGTTTGCTAGGCAAATGATTATTCCGACTGGTTTTGGGCTCATCAACTCAGGATATCCTAGTTTTGGGCTAGTTTAACTTTATTGTGAATGAAAGATCAACCTTTTTGTTTCTGGTGTAGATATGGCAAAGGGACATATATAAGATTAAGGAAGTGTCCTCTCAAAGATCAATACCTTTATGGCTCGAAAGAAACATTGCTTTCAAAGATATAACACCGTAGAATGAAAATGATTGCTTTATTTGATCGATGTATAAAAATAACAAATTTTCGGTTCATTTGATGTATAATGTGATCATGAACTCTAATGTGTGGATCCATAAGAGGATATAATGGGAGTTAAAAGGTGCAACTAAAAATCAATTTATGTGTTTTTTCATCAGAAAGTAATCGTAACACACAAGATAACCTTGCAAAAAGTTTTTTAAGGAAGGGTGATAAGCAATATTAATAGTTTTAGTGCGCAAGAGACAATTCAGCACCTTTTATTTGAATGTCAAGTAGCTCTTTTTTTTTGGCAATGTGTCTTCTTTGCCTTTAAAATTCCTCCTCCTCATGGGGCCAAAAATATATTTCAAAATTGGCCAATAGTAATGCCTAGGTAAAATAAAATGGTTTTATTCGAGGGCATGGTTTTATTTGGGACCCTTTGTGTTCTTTTATTTTATATTGAAGTGCATATCTGAACAGGTAAATGATTTAAGATAATTATTCGACTGTATAAATGAATCAACAAACTACAATAAATTTGAAAAACCGATTTAAAATTATATTAACGAAATTTATGTACATAATTTTTTAAAAGAAAATATCGTTTGTGAGCTTAGAAAGCATGCAAGTCAATCCATTCAGCAGAACCTATATCACGGTGATTCACGCTTGGTCTGTTTTAATTATTTCAGTCCCTGACAATTAGAGGATGCTTCTTATTGATCTATTACTGTTTCATTAATCATAGCAGGCTTCATTGATTCCACACACAACCACCAAACAAGATCAGCTATCAAATTAAGAAAAAAGATAATAACGCCAGTTTATGTATGTGGAGATCATTTCTCTCGAAAAATATCTGTTCAGAAATTAACTGTCGAATTTGACCTTGCCACCATGCATGAGGTTGTCAACCTTCAAGAAAATTCAACCACTTATATTTGCAAGAGTCATGCATGCATCGCGCGTCAGGGAAGCATGCATATTTATTTCTAACAAGCTCTTATTCTTCTTCCGTCCTATAATATAAGGGATTTTGAGTTTTTCCTTTCACTGTATGACCACTCGTTTTATTAAAAAAAATTTAGAATTATTATTTATTTTTTTGACTTTATCTAAAGTATTTTAAGCATAACTTTTTGTTTTTTATATTTGCACAATTTTTTTTGAATAAGACGAGTGATCAAATAATGCAAATAAAAACTCAAAATCCCTTATATTATGGGACGGAGGGAGTATGTAGTAGTAACAGTTATATATGTTCTCTAATTAAGTCAAATCACGCGGTGTTAGAAAACTCGCACGTGATAACGTATGACTTTAGGGATATGAACAACTATATGATCCTATTTGGTGGTATCTAAGATCCATGTTGAATTTATAGTTTCAAAGCTTGGATCAATTTGTACGTTAAATTGTAGTAATTTGAAATTTTAGATATTTTCTATAAAATACGAACAAAATGAAGCGCGGGAACAAAAATCATATGAGACTAAGAGTAATATGTTTAGGGCCAACTCAAACTCAAAGACGCAAAACATTAACTCAGTTATAAAATTGAATACATTAAATGGTAACGATGCCTACATGTACATATTGTTTTGAACTTTTTGATGAGGGTCTCGAGATCTCATAGATCAATTTTCTTCTCTAAGTACTACGTAAATACTAAGGAATTGTCCAAGCCTATACATGACAGAACCAATCTATTTTATAATTTTATCCTGATTATTATCACAGATTATATACTTAATTATAGGAAAAATAAATATGGTAAGAAATAAGCATAAATAATACTACCCCAATTTCAAAATATATGACACCGTTGCTTTTCGCATAACATTTGACCATTTCTCTTATTCAAAAATTTAGTTTAAATATGTACAAGTATAAGTTAGGCTTATATGGTTTCTTTGATAATAAAACAATTTATAAAATATAATAATATTTTTATCTTTTTAAAATAAGATTAATAGTCAAATGTTATGTGAAAAGTCAATGGCATCGTACATTTTGTGATGGGTAAGTACTACCTCCATATTTTAATGTATGACGCTGTTGACTTTTTTTCAACGTTTGACTATCCGTCTTATTTAAAAAAATTTATGTAATTATAATATATTTTATTATGACTTGATTCATCCTGAAATATTTTTTAAGCATGACATAAATATTTTTATATTTGCACAAAAATTTTGAATAAAACGAATGGTCAAACGTTGGTTAAAAAGTCAACGGCGTCATACATTAAAATATGAGTGAGTACTAGCTTATCACATTAAAATAGAAGCATGGATCTATTAATCCGTTGTAATAATTCCATGGACAGGATGAACCAAATATGGTTGGAAGAAACGAAGAAACATCGTATTAAAAGATTACATTGACTTTTCGATTGGGGGAAGCACCAATGTGGAAGAGCGCATGACTTCATCGACCATCAATGATTCAAATTTTATTGCCCATAAATATTAGAGTAAAATACACCGCCGGTCCTTGAACTTGAAGCGTGGTGTCACTTAAGTCCATGATCTTGTAAAATCGACATTAAGGTTCATGAACTTGTTTAAGTGAATCATTGCGGTCTAAAGCACATTTGACCGGATTGACCGTCCTACATGGCTGTACAGCGTGGCTGCATATTTGCTGTTAGACCCCTCCGTGCTCAATCCACCCTCTTCTTCCCCTAAATCCTTTTCTTTTTCTTCTCTTTCTCTCTTTTTTCACGGCCCTGCAGGTAAGCTGGCCGGCGAGCTCGCCCCGGTCGTCGTCACCGAGGTGGATCATGCCTGCGAGCCCCTCGAGCTCTTGCCGCCACTGTCGGGCTTGAGCTCGACAAGGTGGCCGTCAGGAGCTCGACGGAGAAGAAGGCAACCGCAGTCATGGCCTGGCTCGGTCTCCCTTCCTGCCGCCCCACGCCCTTGCCGGAGCCATCCCTCCACCGCCGCCGAAGAGAGGGGCACCACCGGGGAGAACCACGCCTCACTGACGGCCAGATCCGCCGGTTTCGCTTCCCGCTGGTCGTCGGCACCGGATCCGCGCCGCGACGCCTCGCCACCGGAGTGATGGATGTCGAGCTCCGCCTAGTTGCCAGCGTTGGATATGGCCTTTTTGCCAGTCGTCGGCGCCGCATCTGACCTTACCGCCAGATCCGCGGCGCGACACCTTGCTGGCGGCGTGGAGCCAGGGAGAAGGGCGGCGACAGCACTGGCGGGAGCAGCAGCAACAGCAGCAGCGAGGAGGATGAACGCGATGTGGCGGCGCAGAGGATGAGTGACATGAACCAGTGCGCGTGCCACAGGAAGGCGAGGACATTGATGCGATGCCCATCGTCCGCGCCTTCGATTCGATTAGCGTCTCCGATGACCCGAAGCACGTCGGCGTCGGGAAGCCGGATGTGGACGTGCCGAACGACCCAATGTCGGTGTCGGGACTGTCGTGGCTGGCAAGGTGCAGCTGGTGATGCAGTCCATCGGCACCGCGATCCCAGGCGTCGGCGGCAGCTTGCAATCATAGGCCACCACGCAGGACACGGACGCCTCCACTACCCTTGCCTTCGGCGAGCCGACGACTGGGCAGTAGCAGGACAAGGGGGTGACGATCTCCGGCACGGTGAAGCGGCGGAAGGAGGACGTGGCACAACGCGTGCCGACGGTGGCGGCGGCGGCGGTGCCGGGCGACATGATGGCGAAGGTCCGGGAGGCGCCCGCAGGTGCTGACCAAGGCGCGGGAGGCCGTCTTGTCGCTCACCGGCGAGAACCGCGTCTCCGGAGGGAAAGGGAAAGGGGAGAGGGAAGGTGGTGAGGAGGATGAGGGAGAGGGCAGAGCCGATGGCGAGCGGGTGAAGCCAGCGGCGGTCGACAGCAACAGTGGAGGGTTGGATCGGTGTGTAGGGGCTTAAGTGCAAATATGGGGCCACGCTGTACAGCCACGTAGGACGGTCAATCCGGTCAAATGTGCTTTGGACCACAATGATTCACTTAAACAAGTTCATGGACCTTAATGTTGATTTTACAAGATCATGGATCTAAGTGACACCACGCTTCAAGTTTAAGGACTGGCGGTGTATTTTACTCTAAATATTATTCATATGAAGGTGATCTTTTAACAGGTTTAGACATTACAGATGTAGCGTTGGTTTCCACCCTTTTAAACATGCGTTAGATTCTTAGAGCAGGCCGCACAATAGCAGACTATTAGCCAGCTATAAATATATTTTAATGAGAAAAAGATAAGAGAGAAGAGCAGCGGGCTACAGATCTATAGCCAGCTGTAGCACAGACTCCAAGACGCAATGTGCGTATGACAGGTGGGACCATATATTAATAGTATAATAAGCAACTATCGTATGAATTGGCTATCAGATTGGTTATAAATAAATTGGAGCTAATAGTGGGCTATACTATTAAACTTGCTATTAAGGGGTGTATATTCACGGATGTGTGAGTATGGTGATACGTGTCTAGTGGTGTGCGTGCTTAGTTTTGAACGACTCGTAATAGACAGTGCGAAGCTCTATTGATAGAGCAGGAAAAAAATTAGAAGATTACAATCTTGTAAGGTCGTAACCAGGAAAACGGAAAAAGTATACTACCACCCACACACCAATAGCACCAACACACAGCAGACCCATAAAAAGGCTAGCATCGCACTGGCCGCTGCTAGGCTAACAACGGAACACAGTTGCTCATAGACTTTGACAAACTCACTTACGGAGACCAAGACCGAAACGAGCAGCCAGCAGGCATTTCCTGGCCTTCTTAAGGAGGCTTGCATCAAGGGCATTAGCCAACTACGACGACTAGTTCGATCAGGTCGATTCTGCTCTGCATTTTTTTAGCAGGATGTTCAGATCAGCAGCTCTTCTAAGGTACTACTAGTCTATATGAGTTTGATCAAGATATATATTACTATATACCAAGAATTCACTATATATTTTTTATACTATCATAGCTAATCATATATGTGTAGCTGAGTACTGAATAATGGGTATGGATGATCTGGTGTCATAATAGGGAGACGAAGAGAGTTTTTGGAACAACGAGTACTTGGACAGCTGGTTTAGTCGTCAATGGCTTCTCCACGGCGTCCAGCTCGCACCAGAGGTTGGCCGGCAAGGTGGCCGTCATCACCGGCGGCGCCAGCGGCATCGGCAAGGCGACGGCCACGGAGTTCATCAAGAACGGCGCCAAGGTCATCATCGCCGACATCCAGGACGACCTCGGCCACTCGGTGGCGGCGGAGCTCGGCCCGGACGCCGCGTACACGCGCTGCGACGTCGCCGACGAGGCGCAGGTCGCCGCGGCCGTGGGCCTCGCCGTGAAGCGGCACGGCCGCCTCGACGTGTTCCACAACAACGCCGGCATCGCCGGGGCGCTGCCGCAGGACGACATGGCGGCCGTGGACCTCGGCGACTTCGACCGGGTGATGGCGGTGAACGCCCGGTCGACGCTCGCCGCCGTCAAGCACGCCGCGCGCGCCATGGCGCCGCGATGCAGCGGCTGCGTGCTCTGCACGTCGAGCGGCGCGGGCGTCATCCCCGTCCCGGCTGTCCCGGTGTACTCCGTGTCCAAGGCCACCGTGATCGCCATCGTGCGCGCGGCGGCGGAGCCGATGGCGCGCCACGGCCTGCGTGTGAACGCCATCTCGCCGGGCGCCACGAGGACGCCGCTGCTGCTGCGGCAGATCCCGCTGCTCTCCGAGATGTCCCCTAGCCTGAGCGACGGCCTGAAGACGACGGTGGAGAAGGAGGTCGGCGAGGGTGGCGCCGTCGTGCTGCTCGCGCCGGAGGACATCGCGAGGGCGGCGGTGTACCTGGCCTCCGACGAGGCCAGGTACGTGAACGGGCACAACCTCGTCGTCGACGCCGGGTACACCGTGCACAAAGGAGCGTGACAGGTAGACGACGCCGATCGAGCAGGTGGCGTGCATGCATCGCTGCTTGGTTTTCAAAGTCGTCGTTGTTGTAATTGGAATAATAAGGACGTCCGTGACAAAATTTAAGTATTTGAAGATGATGATGCCGTTTGAAACTCATATAGATGTTGATAAAAATTAAGTGTTTTACGCATAATTATATAGTACTAACGTATGATTAATTAAGTTTAATTATTACAAACTTTGAAAAATATATTTATATGATATTCTAGAGCAACATCCATATACAAAGTTTTCGCACGAAATACACCGTTTAGTAGTTCGGAAATCGTGCCACGAATATCTAAATTTTTATCCAACTTTTATTGGAGAAAAGAACGAGGTCTACATCTGAACATCTGTGTGTTGAGATTTCTGGCTAAAAATTACTATATTTTAGGACGAATGTAGTATTAATTTATATGCAAATTAAGGATCAGGATGGAGTCATTATTAAAAAGAAGGATCAGCGTGGAGTGGACTGCCTACTTTTCCTCTGTATAGTAGGTGGATTAATTAGTCTAAGCATGTGAGGGTGTATAGCCACGTGCGTATCATTTGTTTCCGAGAATTAATCCATATGTCAACAATTCTTCATCCCTGGAATGAGGCCTTTGGTTGTTTTGTTAGTCTGCATGTATGCTGTAAGAACTTAGTAATACATGATCATTTACGGTAATACTCCCTTTGTTCTATAATATAAGGGATTTTGAGTTTTTACTTACAATGTTTGACCACTCGTCTTATTCAAAAAGTTTGTACAAATATAAAAGACGAAAAGTTGTGCTTAAAATACTTTGGATAATAAAGTAAGTCACAAAGAAAATAAATAATAATTCTAAAACTTTTTGAATTAGACGAAGGGTCAAACAATATAAAAGTAAAAACTCAAAATTTCTTATATTATAAGGATGGAGGGAGTAGAAATGAGGGTTTATGCCCTTTAATAAAAAAATTGTCAACAATTATATTATGTCGTATGCTATTCACATGGAGTACTTCACATGTATGAGACCTGGTTTTCTAGGATTATTTAGTTCTGCGGAGTGCAACGCAACGGTGTTTTTATTTTTCTCATTTCTAGAAGTATTCTTTCCAATGAGCAGTCAGACATCTGATTTGCAAAAAGGAGGAAATTGGTACAGTACACTTAGTTGGTACCAGGCATTTTCAGACCACACAGGCGTTGCCTGTCTATACAGTATCAATTGCGCCTATGGTCCAGACATGACCCAATAAGACTCGGGTCGTGCCGTGTCGATGCGAAGGCATGGCTTGCCTAGCATGCTCATCCTTAGAACAAGTCTAATTTATCCCCCTCATCTCTTTGGCCTTGTCTTATATCGATGTAATAAGTTTATTTTGCATTTGTCATATATTTGGGCCAGTTAGGGTTATGAACTCATAATCATGGAATCGACTCGATCATCAGATTATAAGTTCATTCCATACCAGACCAGACCGTACACATTCTTATTATGAGCAAGGATCGTTGGGCCATGCTGGACCGACATATCGTGCCAAAGAATAGGCCCAGCCACGGTCGAACGGTTAGATTAAGCCGGCATGAATCCGACAACAGTTCGGGCATATCGTGCTTGGATCGGGCCAAATCTCTATGCCATGGAAAAAAATTCTCTGCGGCAGTGCCGCACACCACAGCCCGTGCGACACCCCGCAGAATAGCGACGCGTGTTTAATCTCCTGCTGCAGGCCGAGCCCTCTTTGGTTGGTGTCGAGCCGAGTCCATCTCTTGCCGCTGCTTATTGGAGTCAAGCTGTCCAGGGCACATGAATAGTTTGTATTAAGTCTGGAAGTTTTTGGGTTCCCTATGTAAGGGTGGTGTATTGCCTCTCTTTTTATTTCTACAATATAGACCAAATGATTTTACATGCTGTATAAATATGATGTCGTGAACGTGCCAACCTGATTTCAACACCAGGTGTGCTTTTAAGTTGTCAATGAATACATGTATTTTTTACTTGTCAGGTTGGGTATAGTGCTAGAATTGGTTTGTGTGTTGCAAACTTTCAAACTTTCATGTGGTTGGTATTCCTATATAGCTCCGCACCTATACAATTAAAAATTTTCGGAGCTACTACTCTATCCCAACAAAAAAGACAAACTCTAGCTACGAATCTAGACAATGTGTTCGTAGTTAGGATTGGACTATTTTTTTTTGAAACGGATGGGGTACTCTTTAAATGTTCCGTGATTTGTTATGTCATCAAAATGTAATTTCTGAGCACCTGAGATATCTTGATAAAGTTTAGGTAAATGACTTATATATTACACTAGAAAAATCTCCACGCATATACATATACCGACCACCTTTTAAGGAGGCTTAATTGCAGTGGACTCTTCACCACTCCATCAGCTCAGTTCGATTCAGCTCTGCATTTGCTACATTCTGAGCAGGATGTTCAGAGCATTCCAACTCCTCAGGTATCATGAGCTTAATCAAAATTGGAGTATATTATATAACGGGCCTAGGCTTTTACAAATTATATATATATATATATATATATGACACTCATATGGGGCTGTCGGTGATATGGGACCGGGAGTATCATGACCAGAGGCTTGAGGCAGACGCAATCGCCCACGTGGCCTGGCACCTTCGGGGACGTCGGGCCCGAGGGTGAGGTGTCCGCCCTCCTCCTGATTTCCCCCGAGGGGGGGGTCGGGTTGCGCTTGCCCCGGCCCCGAGGGCCGAGGCACCCCGACCCCTTAAGGAAGTCTGCGCCACATATATGGGATAAGTGAGCACAGCTGTGCTCACCTAACAGCATTTATTGCAGTCTGGTCAAGCGTGTCACGCTGCATGCAACGCAGTACAGCGCGTTCCTTTATCCGGTCTGTGACCAGTCACAGACCGGTCAGATCACGGGTTAGGTGGCGACTGGCGGTCTGACGCACGCCTTGCCCCATCCCGTCAAGACGAAAGCCTCTAGGCACTCGTCTCAAGCCGGAGCTAGCGTGTTATCTCTTAGAAATGGCACGTTAGCCCTGGTCAGATTTATACCAGGCTTCATCCTAACCATTACAGGCAAGGTGTTACACGAAGAAGGGCAAACATGCACGTTGATAAGCTGACGCGTGGTGGACAAGAATGACCGGTCTGGCACTGGTCGCGTCATCGACAGACAGCCACGGTCCCGCGTCATCTCTGTCTTCGGGGGAGGTGGGGGTAGGTGTGGGCTGTCCCATCAGAAGGGCTCCCGGATGGAAACCGTACCGATCTCCGCCCATTAAAGAGAAAAAGAACAGTCCAGTTTGGAAAGAGAAAGGTGCATGTGGTATCCCCTTGAGATATAAAAGGAGGACCTTGCCCATTTAGAGGGGGGACTTTTTCCCTTTTGGAAGGCGGAGGGGAAAGGAAGTTAATCCTTTGTAACTTGTCCATACACAAATCCACAAAAACACAGGAGTAGGGTATTACGCTTCGCAGCGGCCCGAACCTGTATCCATCGCCGTGTCTCGTGTGTCTTGCGGGCGGGTGATCTTTCCACATACAGAGAGAGAGAGAGAGCTTGGGATTGCACCCTAAGCCCCTGGTCGAACCGGCAAAGGGGGGCTTGCGCAGTCTCCCGGTGAGGGGCCACGAGCTCCGTCATCTGGCGCGCCAGGTAGGGGGCTCGGCGTGTGTTCTCTGAGCTCTCATACTCTTCCGTGTGCGCCAAGTTTCCCTTGTTCAGCCTAATGGCCGAGCAAGCAAAGGCGCACGACTTCTCTCCGAGTGTGAGCGGCGACGACGGGGAGCCAAACCCGCGTCATCGAGCTCGTACTCCCCCACCTCCTCCGCGCCAAAGTCCTAAGCGGGGGGAGGCGCTCGAGAGGGTTGAAAAACCCACAGCATCACCAGTCGCGGGTGGTGCAGGAGAACGGCGAGATGGGGAGCGTCGCCTCCTCGTCTACGGCGACGGCAGCACGCCCCAGGGAGTGCTTCAGGCTGCTGGCGCGCTCCTACGTCACCCGCCCGTCGTCCCTGACCCGGAGTCTCCAGCCCGGCGATGGCTGGACGACGTGGCCAACTTGGTCATGACGGCACAGCAGCGCCTGGGTGCTGGTGGACGGTCCGCCACTACCAGGACCCCCGGCGCCGCCACCACCGGCTCTGTGTCATCAAGGCGGAGGGCGCGGCGAGCGGCGGCTGCTGCACGCCATTCGGCTACCACTCCCTCGTCGGCGCCTCCGACTCGGGAGGATCAGCATGAAGAGCCGGATGCCCGCCTCGACATCGAGCGCCGACGTAGTGATCGGCGTGCTCCCCGCGCAACGGAGGGTGCCTCTTCGTCCAGGGTGTCACCTCGACATGGACGTGAGGATCAGCCCTCCGTGCCCCCGGTTGGTGGTGTTGGCTGTAGAGCCTTTGTGGCGAGTCTTCGGAATGTCCGTTGGCCCCCAAGGTTCCGGCCCACCATCACCGAGAAGTATGATGGGAGCGTCAACCCCACCGAGTTTCTCCAGGTCTATACGACCGGGATCGAGGCCGCTGGGGGAGACGACAGGGTCATGGCGAATTTCTTTCCCATGGCCCTGAAGGGACAGGCGCGGGGTTGGCTAATGAACCTGCCACCCGCGTCGGTCCACTCCTGGGAGGATCTGTGCCAGCAGTTCACCATGAACTTTCAAGGCACCTATCCACGCCCAGGTGAAGAAGCGGACTTGCACGCAGTACAGCGAGGGGATGATGAATCCCTTCGCTCGTACATTCAGCGTTTCTGCCAAGTCCGCAATACTATACCTTGCATCCCTGCACACGCGGTGATCTACGCGTTCAGGGGGGGTGTGCGGCACAACCGCATGCTCGAAAAGATTGCCTCCAAAGAGCCCCAGACTACCGCAGAGCTTTTTCAGCTCGCGGACCGAGTGGCTCGTAAGGAGGAGGCCTGGACCTGGAACCCCTCCGGTTCCGGTGTGGCAGCTTCGGCCGCCCCCGGATCCGCCACTCAGACAGGGCGGCGTGACAGGAGGAGGAAGAAAAGGTCGGTCCATTCCGGCGACGAGGGTCACGTCCTCGCCGTCAAAGGCGCTCCGCGGGCCACCCGAAAGGGGAGGCCTGCGAGCGACAAAAAGAAAGAGGCAGGTACTCCCAGCAGGGAGCGCCCAGCCAGCAAGTGGTGCTCCGTCCACAACACCTCCCTCCACGATCTC